TTGTATAATCATAGGTCAAAGTTTTCAGAACTGCAGGACACCATATTAATCATAAAATCAATGTGTCAATGATCATCACAAATTTGAGTGGTTGAGGAAGAAATTCATATTGGTACTGCACACAACAGCAATCATTTGAATCATTGTGTCACAGATTGTCATTTATGATACAAATGGAGTAGATAAATATTTTTTCTTTGAGAAAACTATGTAGTGCTCTTTTGAATTAGAGGTCGAACTTTTCAGAACTATACTGTCCCTTCAAATGAGCCTCAGCTCCCGAGATCTATTAGGGCAAATAGATAAATAAAAAATTGCAGGACACAATGGATACTGGTGGATCATTTCAATCATTGTGTCATGGATAATAACAAATATCATTGTTTTTTGTTGAGGAATTCATATCAGTACTGCAGGACACAATAGCAATCATATCAATCATTGTGTCAGAGATCATCATTTATGAGACAAATGGATTATATGGAAAAGCAGCAAATGTATTCAGAACTGCAGGACACAATTTAAATCATCAAAGTCATTGTGCCCTTATCATCATGGATAATTTGTGCTCACAACTAATGTAGCTCTTGCATCAGAACTGCAGGACACATAATAATCATTGATATCACCGTGTCTTAGGTCATCATCGTAAAGAGTCTACCGATATTGTATCATTATGCAGTTACCATTTTGCCATTATTAACTACTGTATCATAATTGTGGTTATTAGCCATTGCCATGGTATGAGTCTACAGCAAAACTAACACAACAGATAACACTAATTCTTTTTCTTAAATATCTAATTACCTGTGTGCGGCTTCATTTTGTTCAAATGGCACTCTACAGATTGTTCTTCCCTCAACGGGGTTCAGTATTCTTATGAGAGAAGCCCACATGCCTGGCCCAGCTTTTGGAGCACCAAACAGACTTTCAGGAAGATCTTCGTTTAAAAATGCCTCTGCCATTTCTCTAGCCAGGTCTTGTTCCTCCTCACCAGCCGCTTCTTGCATTTCCTGGGTGGGTAATATTGTAGCAGTGATTACACTTTGTTCAAAAAACTGTAACTTGATAGGCTACTATATTTAAATTACCTCTGCCATTTGAATTCTGCGTTGCTTTTTGGTTTCTTCAGTGTATGCATTGTGTTCAGTCTCAACCATGACAAGGTGAGACGATTCAGGATGAATGATGAACTTTCTTGGTGTGTACTCCACAGGAAATGAAACCTATGAAAAAAATTAAAAATTTAATTATTGATCAGAATAAGAACTCTACCAACAAGAGCAGTGTTGTGTTAATGTAGAAATGTTGTCCAAACTGACCTGGTTGAAAACAGCACCCAACTTTTCTAGGGCTAAAATTCGTAATGTGTTTGTTGATATAGCAACAATGCCCTCAGGGCACTGCTCTGATGAGAAACCAGCAGCATATTCTAGTGACTCATATGAGAGGGGAGTCAAGTGGAAACGGTTTTGATAGTAATAGCTCAGCCATGAGCGACTGGACATGGCAAGAACCTGAAAATCATGGACATTAAATTACCGACCTCCTGAATGTGAACTTTACTTAATTAAATTCAATACATACCGCTTCACTTCCTTGCATCCGAATGCGGAACAGTTTCACTGGTCTAGAACCAAGATAACGGGTTCTGGTATCAGCAAGATCACCAGTAACTGGATCTAGTACTGTCCGAAGCAAGACACCATTTTGGAGACCAATGTTTAGGTACAAGGTGCCTTGCACACCACCCGTGTCTGCTTCCTCACGATCTCTTGTTTCTCTGTCACCACCACCCATTTCCACAATACAAAGTGACTCAGCGGCTGCAGGCAAGGCTTGCATACTGAGAGGAGACAGACAGTCCTACAAACCCATGGAATTCAATATTAGAAAATTATTCTCTTCATGAGACATTGACATTATATGGTATACAAGCTGTACTCACAGATGGGTCCAATGAAATTATGCGAACAGTGTTGTCAGAGAGACCAACTGCCAGAAAACGAGAACGCTGCTCTCCAACAGGAACATTAGCTAGTGCCATACAGATGACATCACTGGGCATTTCCTTACGTTCAGTATATTCATTGAGTTGACCGGTCTAAAATAATAACAAAGATTTCATAAATTTGTTTTTTAAAATGATCTGTGAGAAAGATAAAATAAAAATAAAGTGTTCACTTACAGGATCCATCTCAAAGTAAACAAGTTCTCCACCGGTCAAAGCAATCACAACTTGTCTTTGGTTAACAGCGCATTTCACAATAGTTTTCTTTCCTGGGGCTTTCCACTCATTCACTCTTTTGTCTGCTCGTATATGTCGAATACCATCAGGGTATACCTGTTAACAAGACAAAACACTCAGTTATTTGAGAAATAAGGAGCTAAACAACCTACACAACCACATACAAAAAAAACAAAAACAAAAAAAAAAAAAACAATTACCTGAACTAGGGCATCATCTCCAAGGGCAGAACATGAGAGAGTAGGAGTGATACCAAGGAAACCAGATTCAGTCACTTCCTCCACAGTTTCACCAATAGATAGAACCAATGTAGCATTGACGAAAGATACAATAATGTAAGCATCAAATTCCTCTGTTGACATTAGGAAACAAAAACGAAATAGAAAACAAAGATACAAGAGATTAACTCAAACAGATAGTAACTGAGTTGAAAGAGGCGCACCATCAGCTCTTCTCTTCACAGTCCAAACAGCACTGGGGTTTCCTGGAAGTTCAGACTTGGCCATTTCAGAAACTTCCAGACCATGCCGTAAAACTCTCAGGGTAGAGCGTGGACCTCTGCCACACAACATGTACAACTGAGGGGTATCCTCATTAGCTACAAATAGAAGAGATAGTGATTATAGAAACATATAAATCAAAGCAAATGATAAAACTGTATAGACAGTGCAGAATAGACAGAAGCAAAGTTAGTTACCTAAATCAGCAACTTGGCAAGCTAGAATTGGGGATAATGAGTCCAACTCATCAACCATAACCAAATTACGAAGGGCGCGAGGAGCAAAGAAAAAGGTGTCTCCTTCTTCCAGAGGCATAGCAGAGCTAAACTCTGGTTCATCATCATCATCTCCGAGATGTGCAATTTGGTACAAATAGCTAAAATAACAGTGAAAGGAAATGATCAAAGAAGAGGAAACACCTCAATGTAAATATGATGTGTAGAAATCATTCATACAACTTACTGATTTCCGAACTCAGAAGCAACGAAAAGAAAACCGGTTTTCATGACACACATTGCAGAAGCAACAGGCACAGTGTCAAAATATTTCAGTTTGATTTCAGTGACAACATCCTCATCTGTTTCTAAGGTAATTTTGAATATATCACCTTGCTCAGTTTGAGCAAGAAAGAAGAACATAGACTTTGTCTTATGTGTTGCAGAACACACAAAGATCATGCCTCTCTCCGGGTCATCTAAATCATTCCGACGGCGAGGAATAGGGCATCGGATGTCATGCTGGTCACCCAAATTCTTGTAAGTTAAGTAGTTCTCAGAACAAATGAGAACACCACTAGGGCCGTCATTGCCTCCAGGAACAGATATCAGAAAGTTGGCATGCTCTTCTAGAGGTTCACTATATTTTCTGACAACGTGATTCAGTCCTAAATCAAGTTCATAGAATGTGAGTGTTTGCTGTGTTTTATTTGCTGCTTCCCCAGTTGGATCTGAGTCAGCTTCCTGTAGATGACAAAAATAAAATGTGAAGAAATTATTTTTGATACACAAAGTTGATGGACATGAACATTCATTTACAAACCTCATAATCAATTTCCAGACAGGCAAACATTGGATTTTCAAAACCTACATCAACTCCAACCATGTGATAGACTAATGTGTTACTTTTGTGAGCTTCAAGAGGAGAAGAGATAGTGAGTCGAGCCTCAGCATCTCTGTTAAGAATGTAAACCAATTTCTGCTTTTCAACAGCACCTAAAACAATAGATTGAAATAGAGTGGAATGAAGAACACCAATGGAGTATAGTAGAACCATGATCATGATAGTAAGTTATAAGACCATGAAATATGAGGGCAAGCATCGCAGTTACCTATCATGACAGCTCGTCCTTTCGGATCAATTGCCAAGTATTGTCCAGGAACAATCCGCCTACATCCACTTTTACCAAAAGTTTCTTGATGGGCCTTGTCAAACACATTTTTTTGAGGGAGATATTCTAAGATAACAATTCTTCCCGAATCAGAACCCACCACAATATAGTCTGTAAGTTCAAGAGTACATGTTAGCGGCTAGTAATAAAATACTTAATTACAATGTTTTGAGGCATGAAGAAAACCAACAAACCTTTTGAGCCACCAGTCAATCTAAATGACATAAGTGACCTAATAACACCGAAAACTTCTACTGTCAAAAGAGTGTGTACTTTGCCAGTGTTTGGATCAGGCCTCAACAACTCTAGGGATTTTCCACGAGAAACAACAATTTCTTGAACTTTGCTGCCACTAAAGTTGCCATGAACAGCATGAGTAATGCCAGTGGCTCGTTGTAAAGTTAAATTGTACAGATGCATCTTAAAGGTATATCTTGAACTTTATTGATAAATATTGTGTTTCCTTGATTACTTAAAAATCAAATCACAGCTTGCAGTAGAAATCTGCATCCATCTGCAAAGAATAGAAAAACCTGGGTTAACATTGTTACATCAATTAACGTACGATAGGCCAAAATAAAATTAAGAAAGAAACAGAACTCAAGCAACAGAATTCAGAACTAAGGTTGGTCGGATATTGTAGATGGGAATTTCTAGGAGAGTGACGTTGAGACAATAGATGAACATTCTATTACATAATCATGATTAATTAATTCTACTAAAGAAAAGAATAAAATGAAATATGTTTTAGAACTGAAAATCCAACTTCCAATGAACCGCCTTAACCTCCACAAGCGCAATGATTTCATGTATTACGTCTGCGGATACACATCAGGTAAGCTACCACTAAAAAGAGCGACTTGTAAATTTAAGGGCATAGTGGTCAAACTATTTTGAATGATTTACCTACCGTATTCAAGGAGGATTCGATGGATTAAATGTAAATAAATTTCGCCGATTCAATAACAAGCGTCCGGTAGACCGGCGTCTTGAGCAAATGGCGGCGAAATAAACAAAATGCGCACATCAACTTCAGATTCTTTATGAAATGAAAGGAAAGGCAAGATATTTTGAATTAACTAAGACACATGAACTTTGACAAAATAAATATCAAAATAAAGATTTGACGAAAGGAGGAAAACAAAAATGTAAGTAAATTAGTATTTAAACTTTGCTGAGTTGGCTACTTGGTCGGTCAGTGCCTTCCAAAAATAAATTCACTTTCGAGGCGGCAATCTTTGACCATGTTCAAATACAACTTTTTCGTTACGTTAATTTAAGAAACCAACCTTGTTAATCGTTTCAAGAAAGAGTAAAATCTTTCCTTAACAAAACTTCCTTTATCTTTTTTCATATTGTCGTATGTCGTCATCAAGTGAAGTAAACCTTGCAATCGCTTACGTCCACACAGTTGGTTTCAAATCACCCGCCGACGGTTGTTTTCATTCTTTTTGGAAGCAGCGGTGCGGTTGTTGCCGTGGCCGTGACCGCCGTTTGCGTGTCTGCATGTGTGTGTCCATTCAAGGTTTCAAAACTACCCACATTTGCGCAATTCTTGTAATTCTGTTGTAAATTTTGATCGAGTGAATAATCTTTGCCATTTGGATTACCTGGAGGGCGTTGGCATAACACGGCGCGAACTAAATCTTCAGCCGGTGGCGTTTTTCCTCTAAAAGTTAACCTTACTTTGTGACTGCATCTCGTCCAGCAGCTTTGCTCAACACGATTCGTGAAATCATTCTTCTTGGAGAACAACCTTCGCAGCCCTACTCAAAAAGGTAAGTTTCAGACATGCAAGGGTTTGAATGAAGTTGTCAACCCTTGATAATTGTTCCGTATGCTATTTTCTCATGGTAGAAGTTCTGATGCACAGCTACGTGTTTTGCCAGCATGTTGCATTCTTGTTGCCTGTGGCCTGTGGTGATTGATAGCGCACTCAAAGACTGATATATACGCGATTTAAGTATTGATAATATTTTAAGTGGGCAACAAGTCATATGTGATCCGCTTTTTTGTCCAAGAAAAACAAGTTGAAATGAGTTAGTAATGAAGATTTAAGAATTGCAAGCTGTTCGTGCTGTACAAACATAGTGAAACTGGACATTTTTGGAACAAATCTGTTTCCGTGATATTTACTAAGGTTGTCAAAACCACTACTGAAGTGAGAAAAGTAATTTTGGGCAGGCGTAAGACAAGTTGTAGAGTGCAGTCTGGCAAAGACGTTTTTTACCCTTATTTGATTAGTGTTCATGTGTGATTCAGAGTGGGAAAGTGAGGAGCCATCCTTGGTGTTCTGACGACGCTTTCAATGTAACCTGCTCGTTCACCGTTCTGCTGTGGCCGCATGTCTGGAGAGCTTGCGGTGGGGTAGTTCAGCTCTCCCTTCCCCTTCCTCCACGGACCGGCGCGGCGCGCGGCCACCGGGACTCCCCTCCCTACTTCCCCGTCTCCAACCCCAACGCCAGTCGGACTGGCCTCCAGTCTTCTCTCTCGCCCCAGTGCACGGGGCGATGCGGTGCGAGAGAGAGGGTGGGGGTGGCGCTTAACCCAACCCTCTGGAGCGTCAGGAGGCGGCGGGGAATCGATACAAAACTAAACGGACCGGGGCGAGGTGGCAGGGGAAGGCGAGGGGGAGGAAGGGGGAGGGGGAGGGGGGTGATCCAGGAGATGGAAGGGCAGAGCACCAGCACCACGCGGTGCGCGCGGCGGTGCGTGGGGGCGCGTCGGAGAGGACAGCAGGGGGAGGCGGGGGGTGATGCGATGAGGATCATTGAGATGACGGAGAGTTTGTGTGGCGAACGGATTGCCGTTCCGTTTCCGTCCCAAAGCTCTGATGTCATTCATTTGGCTCGGAGGAGCAGGAGGGCTGCCACGGGTGGAGGGGGAGGGCGCAGGGCGCCTGGTGTTTGAGTCCGACGACCCTCTCTCTCCCTTCCCGCCCTAGGCGGGGCGCTGCTTTAGATTTAGCCGGAGTACACACGTGGCCACGTTTCCGGGGTGAAACACGTCGATAGGATTCTATTTCGCACCCCTAAGCTTCTTGAAATTATTGTCGTTGCCGAAAAGCACCATAAAAAATAATTTACATTAATACATGACCCATTTTTCTAAAAATTTTTTTCACAAAATGATGATATGGTGCCCTCTGCTATGGCCTCGACCTGATAACAGGACTACGTCGCTCTTCTTGAAAGCAATGACAGGACACACTCTTGACAAAGTAAGGCGGCCTGATGAAGGGGCATAGTGCAGGATGACAGCCTTCTTGACGTGCAGTACCTTGTCCAGGACTAGCAGGAGCAGCACACTTCTTTTTTCTCTCTGTCGCACTTGACCGTACCTCATGGCCTCATGGTCGTGGCTCGTGCCGCCGCCGGGCCCAAGCGTGCGTGGCGCTGGTGGCGCTCGGTCCTGGCGGGGTCTCTGCCGGGTCACGACCTCCCGGAGGGGCCCGAGCACGCCGCCGGGGAAGGTGTGCGGCACGCGCTGCCCAGGGGGCCGGCGGACAAGCGAGAGAAAACAGAGCAAAGTGGGAGGAAAAGATGTGAAAATAAGTGGTTGCATGTCGAGATCGCGCGGGCTTGGCCGTGGTCCTAGCAGGGGTGCTGCTCTGGCCGCCCGGTGTACCGAGCGGTGCCCTCCCCCCCCCTCCACTCCCCGGGCGCTCACCCTCCACCCCTCCCTGAGGCCATCCCCTGCCTTGCCTTCCCTTAGGCCACGTCCGCCCACACCCGCCCACGCCGCGGGGGTGGCCGACTGTCACCCCCGCCCCGCCCCGCGGCCGGCTGGAATTCTAGCTCACAGGGGCGGATCCAGGCCGGGGCTCGGCAGCCATGCTGGCAGCCAGCGTGGTGCGGTGGGCTAGGCCGGCCGGGCTGCGCTAGCGGCGCTAGCCTGCTGTGCCGGGCTGAGCGCGCGACGCGACGCGGCTCAGTTTGGCCCCGGACGGGGAAGGTGGAGGTCGCCTCGCCGCCCCACCCGCTCCGCGCGCTCCCCGCGAGCCTCGCGCAGCGCCGCGCACCGCGCACCGCCGACACGCGTCTGTGTAGGACACCCCACCCCCACCCCGCCCCGGCCCGCCCCCTTTTGAGCTGTCCTGTCTTTGTGCGTGTGCTAGTGTGCCCTGACCCCCCCGGTGGCTTAGCGACGCGCCCGACGGTGAGTGCTGCATAAACTCTCAAGGGGGCTAACTCGGAATTCGCAGAATTTTAAAAATTAAAAAATGTTTAAAATATAATGTGTGCGTTGGTTTGTCATTTAGTCACATTGGTGTGGCGGTATCTATTGTCTTTCTTTCAGACAAGTGTTCTTCGCTTATTCGCTTGTACCTTCTCTTCTATTGCGTTCGGAAAATATCGGTTATCTTGGAGGGGTTGGAGGGCTGAAAAGACGTGTCTATTTGTGCGGGGCGCTCCTCATGTGCTAAGTGCGTTTGCGTGTTCGCCGCCGTGGCGTTGGCTGGGGCGAAGGTGAGTGGGGGGCTGCGTTTAAAGTCTGATGAGATTTGTGTGGTCAGTGCTCCTCGAGGGGGTGGGTGGGTGGGGGATGATACCTAACGGAATAAAGGTATCAAAAGCAGTGATAAATTACAGAGTGTCAGCGATGAGGATATAGAGAAGGATATATTATCTTGTCTACAGTGAGTAAAATAGTACTTTGCGGAGTGTGTGCGATATAGCCCTGAGGGGTGGAGGAGTGTAATGTAGGGACGAAGGGGAAGCAGGAGGTGAACTCACGCGCGGATTCACCCAATTCGATTCTGGGGGCTTTGGTCGGCTCCCCGCAGGGTTGCTCCTGTGCCCGGGCCGGGGCCGGGCGGGGCGCTCACAATAACGCGCCTCGTCATCAAAGTTTGGGTCGGTAGGCGACCTGGGGCGGCGGGGAGAGTTACGGCAGCGAGGAGCTTATGGGCCGGCCGGGAAGAAAGTGAAAAAAAAAAGAGAGAAAGACGATAGACACGTCAGGCCTTGGGAGGGTTTTCAGCTGGAAATGTATTTTTAAGGCAGTCGTCAACGACTGTCTCTTTCTCTCGTAAGGACGCCCCGCGACGAAGGGACATGTCCCCGAGACAACACTGCAAAAAATACTTTAAGGTTACCAAACAATTTACAGCTTTGTGAAAAGATAACACATCGAAGACAAATCGTTACAATGTAGCACTGTGAAAAATAGTCGGCAGGTTTACAGGAAAATTTTTCTTGAAGCAAAGTTGTAAAATTACAATTTATAATCGTAAAAATACATGCAGTACGTATAGACTTGAAATCCATTAGGGAGTAAAACGTGTTCTCGTGAACTTACAACTTAAATTGTAGTTCAAGTTTACAATTTAAAAAAAAAAATTCGACAGTGTAGACCAAAAAAATATCTTTAGTAACTTTTGGCAATTTTGTTAAAAGAATGGATTTGTAAATTTACTCGGTTCTCTTCCTTTAACAGTACTGTTCTTGAGGGATTACGTGCAAGTTTACATATCAAAACCCTCTCAGTGAAATGTTCCCGACGACTGTGCGTCTAAGAAGAGGGCCGGACTGCTGGAATTGCTTCGGACGTGCCGTGTCCCATTTCGCTAGGGTGCGGGGACCCGGGAGCCTGCACGAACAAAAAGAACTAGTGTCTTAGGGTTGATGGAGTACAGGGGGAGGGGGGTGCGGGTTACAGGACCGACGGCCGGCGGCGCCCTGGAGCAGCCCAGTCCAGCCAGACTAAACCGACCCGGTGGGGTAGACGCCCTTTGGCGACAGCCGAGGGTGCCGAACTGGAACAGGGCGGGCGCCGGATGGCCAGACGGGCGTAGCCAGGTCGGCCGGGAGTTGCCCCGGAATTTATTAGGTCACAAAACATTTTTGACCCAGTTTATCTACAGCATGGTTTAAGGGCACACTGGAAATCCAATGTCGCACACTTGTAGGTATGTGAATTTTTACTTGAAGACACAAGTGTACGAATTTTACCAGGAAATTCACACCTTTACGTACTGGTTTAAGTGTACGATTGGAATTCTCACACCTTCAAGTGTGCGACATTCTCGCACTTAGATTTCCAATGCAGCAACTTGAGACAAAAACTTTCAGTTCAGCAAATATTAAACGAAAGGCGTTGTAGCTAGACTTCCTAAGTTATCTCTTTTTACAAAAAAATGATAATTTTCATTTAATGCGTGCCGTGCCGGAATGAAGGGTTGCTTGACACATGGCAGCGTTTTCGTACGCAAAAGGGCGATGTCCGACCTTTTGTCCCCGTTTAAGGTTATGAGTCTCTCCCTCTCTCTTGTCTACCCCAAGGGTGTCGAGTAGGCCAGGCCGCCCGGGCCATGCCTGCCCGCTCTGAATGTTTTTGGGAAAGGTCATTGTGTCAGCGCTGGCCGCCGGCGTGAGCCAAACGGGGCTTTCTGTATTTCTCGCCAAAGTGTGATTTTTTTTTTCGTGTATCGTAGTTCTGAAAGGCATGTCAACGGTAGCCTATAACTTTGGCATGAAATGGGTACACACGAAATAATTTACCGTGTTAGTGGTCCCGTTTTTTGTCTCTCTTCCCGCTCTGCAGTCTATTTGCACGCGGTGAATGATAGTCCAGACCGCAGAGTAATGCGCTTGGAAGGGTCAGGTCACCGGCGGCCGGGCCCCGGCCAGCCGTTGTGGATCGAACGGCAGTGTGCGTGCGGCGCCAAGGCGGGGCGGGGCGGGGCGGGGCGGGGCGGACGGTGTATTAGTATGACCCGTCGTTGGCCCCGTTCCCCGTCCGGAGTGTCAATAAGCGGGCCGAGTGCGGCGCTGGCTTCCGCGTCGCCTGGAACTGGCCTTTAATTCCCAAGAAGTGTCCGCTCACCTCCTCCAGCCCCTGCCAGCCCCTGCGGCGGGCGGGGTAGGCCGGCCCGTCGCGCACGCCCGCCGCCCGGGCGGCCTACCCTGCGCACGGCAGGCGCCGTCCTCGGGGAGGCTTGAGTCGCGGGCTCAAAGGCATGGTGTGTCGTGTCCACATTGCCTCCATAGACGGCTGACGATTATTGTGGCCACAAACCACGTAACATACGAGTTATTCTCAGTTTTTAGTGCTCGGTGCTCTTCGACTATCATTCACACGGTCACGGGCTGCGTCAAGTCGAGAAATCCTAAAGGCAAACCCGATTTTTAGTTATGACACCTTCCCTGCGGCTCATTTGTGGTGCCCATGATTTAACATGGGAGCTTGACCGCATCGTAGTGATGCCGCAGGAAACGTGTTAAATCTACCGACTTAACAACGATTAGTACACACAAAATGTATATGAACTTGTACGCAGCAACGCAGCACGCACAAACAAATCTCCACCCTCTCTTATTCTTGCGTACTTATTGTTAATTAATTCGCAATTATATACAAATGAGGTAGTGAGGTTAGTGATTTAAAATGGCCCGACCCTAAAATAACAACTGTTCTCTTTCTTTTCAGCCCATAAGCAGGTTAAGTCTGCGTCATCTTGTGAGCGCCTCGTTAGCGCGGCGCTCGAAGAACCCACGAGTGCGCCGTGTGCAAAAAGAATGTTGAACTCGCACCTCAACTCAAGAAAGGAACCTATTAGGTGCGTCGTGTGCCACAAGTTGTTCTCCCATTCATCTTACCTCCGCACCCATTTGCAAACTCATACTGGTGAAAATGTGCGAACGCGCCCAGTAGCGAAACTATTCGACTGCAGCGTGTGCCACAAGATGTTTTCCGAATCATCTAAAGTCCGTCACATGCGCACTCATACTGGTGAAAAACCATTTGAGTGCACCGTTTGCCACAAGACGTTTGCCGTGTCTGGCGATTTGAATATTCATTTTAGAACGCACACAGGAGAGAAACCATTCGAGTGCGACGTGTGCCACAAGTTGTTTACCCAATTAGCTCATCTCCGTATTCACACGCGTACTCACACTGGTGAAAAACCATATGAGTGTACTGTGTGCAACAAGATGTTGACCAACTCTTCCGCTTTGAAGATTCATTTGCGAACGCACACAGGAGAGAAACCATTTGAGTGCGACGTGTGCCACAAGTTGTTTGCCCAATTATCTGGTCTCCGTGCTCATATGCGAAGTCATAATGGTGAAAAACCATTCGAGTGCACTGTGTGCCACAAGACGGTGACCAGTCATGCCTCTTTGAAGAGTCATTTGCGAACGCACACAGGAGAGAAACCATTTGAGTGCAACGTGTGCCACAAGTTGTTTGCCCACTTATCTGCTCTTCGCAAACACATGCGAACTCATAAAGGAAGAAAATGATTCGAGTGCACTGTGACATAAAATGTTTTCCAAAACTAACTTTGAGGGTACATTTGCGTAATGTGATATCAAAACTTAAAATTAAAAGTGTAACATATATTTTTGAAGCAGAGCATTATTTAT